TCTAGGTGGCAGCTGTGTGGGATAGTCTACATGGCATGCGGGCAAGGGCTGCCTCTCCTGAGCCTATCCTGCCTCTGGTTACCGGCACTCCAAGAGTGTCCCTGACCCCACCTGGTCTTGTTGCTTTCAGTTGTAAGGTCCCTTTGTCACCTCTGCCAGATACCTGGGTCTAGTGCTTTGCTAACCTTGACTTCTTCCCAAGCGTGGAAACTTTGTGCTGCTCTTTTGTTTTCTCCGGGGCTGTTGGAGCTGAGTTGATAAGCCCAGCTTTATCTAACCCTGCCTGGTACCCCAGGACCTGGGATGGGAATCAGGTCTGCCTGATAAGGTCCTTGCCCTTAAGGCTGCCAGTCAGTGAGCTTCTTGAGTGGGAAACGGCCACCGAGCCTCTTGCTCCACTGCAGTGGCTTCTCATGAGTTGGAAGAACAGGATGTTTTCTCTTTCAAGGCTGTGGTCTGGGGAGGGAGAAGCAGGCTTCTGCTCCATAGGCCTTTCAGAAAGGAGCCAATTTGTCTTTCCCTGTTCTAAGCATGCTTTAAGCAAGCTCAAGTCGAACCTATTGGCTCCACTGGATTCAGTAACCTCAGGCTCTGGTTAGGCCAGATGGAAAATCAGTCCTGGAAAAAAAAAAAGTGAAAAACCAAGGCAGAAAAAGTCATTACCCCTCCCCACCCCCCATAAATCTAAACACACTAAGCCCATTGAGAGACTTGCCAGGAAAATGCGATTTTCAGTTTTCTCTGTGGGTTCAATTTATCTTACTGCTCAGTAGTCAAGTTGAATTAGATCCAGAACCAGATACAATTCAACCCTTTTTATTTGAAGGGAGCCGCCCCCACCTTCCTGTCGGTGGCCTCACTGTCGTATCCTAAGGACTGGTATTTCCCACATTAGGAATTGCAGCCTGTCTTCCTTTTAGATATCCGGATTGCGTGCCACTTAAGTTTCCCTCTCTCAGATAAATGAGTAATTGCATCTTTTCTGCTATGCCTCACTACAGATGAGAAACTCTCAGGATTGCATTTTACTTCACTGAGTTTTGCGTTTTGAAGATGGCAATTCTGCATCTTACGATCAACCTTGGCCTGAAGCACAGTCTCATCTATCATCCAGACCATTCAAGTTCGGGGGTTTGAAAGATATGTAATAGAATGGAATATAAAGAACAACACACTTGTCTAGATGACTTGAGTGGCCACGTTCACCCTACTGTTGAGGATGTGATTAGAATATGCACTGGAATACCCATACTTCCATAATGCTACCACAATTATATGCAAAATAAAACACACAGAGCATCCCCCCCCCCCTTTTTATTGGCAATGATTAGAGTTGTCATCCTAAAGCAAGGAACAGACTAGAATAGATGAATCCAGGTAGATTTCTTATCTAAATGGCCATATGGAAATTAATTTACAGTTTTTCCTGTGGAAACAACTTGTTTTCTCACATTTTTTGCCCAAGTGAAGATGGGTGTCTGAAGGCAGATTCCTTCAGGATAGAGTGAGAGAAACCTTTCTTCAATCTCCCTTGGGTAGTTTTAATATATATAATCAAAAGTTTTTAACATGCCTCCATCGAGAAATGGAACTTGATTCCCTTCCTCTGAAATATGAAATGGACTTAGTAATTCAATTCTAATGAATAAGAATATGGCAGAGGTGACTGTCATTTACAAAGCCTAGAATGTAAAGGTACCAGTGGCTTCCTCTTCATTCTCTTTGATTGCTCACTATGGAAGAAGCCAGTGTCATGTCATGAGGATGCGCAAGCAGTCCTGTGAAGAGGGCCTCATGTGAGGAAATGTAAGTGAGTCACACAGAAGCAGATACTTCACACTGGTCAGGTCTTCAGATGACAGTCTGACCCACATCTTGATTGCCACCCATGAGAAGCTTTGAGGCAGAGCTGCTGCAGGGCTAAGCTGTTCACAGGTTCCTGGCTCACAAAAGCTGTGAGATAATGCATTTGTTGTTTTAAACCACTAAGTTGTCAGTAATTTATTATGCAGCAATAGACAATATTCCCCTCTGGAGAATATTTCATTGGTGATGAGAATCTTATTATATGTGTTATTTATGAATACTTGCATGTTTAATGGTCATAAAAAATAACTAAACAGCTTTCCCAAGGTACAAGGCTGATAAAAAAAAAATAACCATATTAGTTTATACTTAAGCTTCTTGAACTTGACCAGACATGTTCCTAGATAATTTAAAAGATACATTGAAATGCTCCCCCATATGGGTCATTTGAGTGGACAAAGAGGAAGTGAGGTCCAGCTTTATCAATCCACTTTGTTGTAATAGCAGAGTTAAGAGCATATTGTGATGGTTTTAAATACTCTTGCGCAGTCTTTGACAATCACTACATGAAGAGCTGGGACCAATCGTGTTCATTTGATTGTAACCAGTATGTGGCTCAGTAGACACGCCCAGCCAGTATCAACCACCAGACACATCAGTGAAGATACCTGCTAGTAAGTATGGCCCCCGCCATCAACTCCCTCCCTACTATCAAGTGACCCTCCAGCTTGAGTCTTCCAACTTGAGGCCCCAGATGTCATGGAGCAGAGACAAGGTGTCCCCACAGGAAGGTGTGCAAAATCTTGTCCCACAAAATCTATGAACATGACAAAATTGCTCTTTTATAGCACTAAATGTCATGGTAGTTCATTACATAGCAACAGAAACCAGCACAGACATATACAGCTTTTTTTCTTCTTTCAGATTAGTTTAAACGAATCCAATTCAGAGATAAAAACTAACTAGCCAAGAATTTTAAGTTGTGACATTTAGAAGACTTACCGTTTGGTTAAGGATGGCCATGTGAGAGACCAAGTACAGAGACACCAGGTTTTCTGCTATCTTGCTTTATGTTGTAGATTGCATATCTCTCAAGGAGAACATTTAAAAACTCAGTAGACATAGAGATAAAATGAGTAGATATATAGTTTACCTTTGAATCTTCCCCCCGACTTAAAAAAATTTGTAATTTTGAAAAACTTCACAGAAACAGCAAATACCACCACCACCACTCAGAATTCATCCAGAGTTAACATTTTTTTGCTTCCTATATCTTTAAATAAGGAATGAGCTATCAAATACATTTAGAGCTCTCTACTCTCACCCAATTCCACTTATGCCATCCCTGGAGATAATCACTATCCTGATGTTAGTATTTCTCCCTTGCCTTTGACCTTTTATTATTTTTAGAATAAATAGTTCTGTGAGTTACCTTATAATTGTATGTATTGAAAGACAGTTTTAATAATATCATCATGAATAAATAAGTTGTTTTGGTTAAGATGCTATAGACAAACATTTGCTCTCTTACTTCCTAATGAATTAAAATTTTTAGGATACGTGCTCTCCATCTAGTGGTAAAAATGGGATAACCATAGGTGCACTTGTGTCTGATGTAGAGGGATGAATCACAGAAAATGACTTCTGGGGTAGGACCCTCTTCTAGTCTATATGAAGGATATGCAGATGAGTAAAAGGCAGACTGTGGCCCTCAGGGTGCTACACTCCATGGAATAATTAGCATGCAGTCGTATGATGGACACATGTGAAAGCTCAGAGAAGAAAAGACACGTGGCCAGGTCATACAACTAGTGATTAGCTGAAGAGTAAGTCAAATTCCACCTTTCTGACTTGAAATCCCATTCTCTAAAGTGCAGATAGTACTTTAAAATGTCATTTTAATATTACAACAAATACTAATTTCCTATGAAGTGGAATGCAAACCTTGATAAATTAAAAGGATTAAAGAGAAGAATCTTCAAATAAATTTAGTTTGTTTCTTGGGCTGCTCCACAAATTTAAATCCAGAAATTTCTGCATTTAGAAATCCCTGGGAACCTTGAAGAACCCAAAGAAGCTCTGCTTGGGGATAGCATCCTAGCATAGAGCACAGGAGGGTTTGGAGAATAAAGTATGGTGCTCAAAAGACCACCAGAAGCCACGATACCAAATATGTTACTATCCATTTCAGACCAGACAGACCAAACACTGAGCCTATCAACCAGCTTAGCCATAATGAGTCCTATCTTCTTCTTCATGACAAAAGAAGCTATGTGTCCTAGAAAAAAAGAAATTAAGGACAGGGTTTAATAAACCATGTACTAGATATTCCTTTACCATGGAACATGGCCCAAGCCTGTTCTTTTATGCTCCTGCCTTCATAAGTCTCCCAAACCATAAATTTATCCTCCACTTAATTTCTGGACTGGACTAGAATCCAATCATGATTTCTGTTGCATCTCATTGTTCCCCTGGTCCTACTTTGAGGAATAGAGAGAGAAGAAAGTATGACTAGGGCAAAAAGCCCAGAAGATATGGGTCTTACTGGAAAGGGAATTTTCTGGATAGAAGAGCATACAATTTGTTTGGACATGGATTGGAAAAGAAGGCAGTAACAGCATGGTGGGTGAGGGGGATAGCAAAGAAATCAAGGTCAGAGAGGAAACGGGGAGGGAGAATCAGTTATGGGGAGCAAGGAAGAGCTGCTATGCCTTCCATGTCTAAGAGCAGTTAGGAGCTGTTGGAGGATTTTTAGGCAGTGAAGGAGAGGCCTGTGACAAGATAGATTTGTGTTTTCCAAAGATTACCCTGGTGGGATGATGAATTCTAGGATGGAAAGACATGAAGCAGAGAGGCTGAAGATTTCCCAGTGGAAGGGGATTTAGATGGTGGTAGTGTGAGTGGGAGCAGTTGGTGAAGATGGAAACGAGAGATTTTGAACATTGTTTGTAGGCGAAGGACTCCTTCTGATATTATCTAGCCCAACTCCCTCATGTTACAGATGAGGAAGCTGCGGTTCAGAGAGGTCATTTTGGGTCAACGTCTGTGTATGGCAGAACTACCACTCTGATACAGGCTCTTGACTTCCAGCCCAACACTTCCTGTTGGACTACACAACTTTCTATTATTTTTATGTTTATATGTCTTTATCCCTTTCACCAGATTATGAATATCCTGAAAGCAGAGAAGCTGCCTTACACTTGAATGACTGATTAACTTTTATTTTGCAAGGGCTGTCAGCAAGCCGCTTGGTAGATGAAATGTGGTGAGGCACAGTCCTTCAGTCCCAAGATCACTCAACTCCAGGCACACAGAGGGAACTCCTTGCCCCTTCTTCAATCGAAATGAAGTTGAATTATACATAAGCTTTCCCATTGACATAAAATAAAATCCTATTGAGATTCAGATTCCAAGAGGAAGTTCAGAACCATGCTTAAGAGAAGAGGAAATAAGGAGAGGAAATCCACATCAATTCTTTATGGAGGAAAAGACAAAGCCTTTATAGGAACTGTCCCAGCGGGCCCTGAGTCAGGAAGCATTTGCAAACACTCTTCCCTGAACCTAACCCAGGGAGGAGTTTCCCATGGGTTTAGCTGAGGGTCTACATACCCGTCAGGACTTGGCAATGGAGATGGTGCTGGAAAGGGTGAATGAATGAAAAGTAATTCCAGGAAACTCCCTCTCTTTCTATTTCTGCCTCCAGAATGGCAAAATGGGGTTGGCTGAGTCTTTGTTTTAGGAGCTGTTTTTAATCCAGAGGAATACGCAGGACCAAGTCGCAGCTGTAGGAAAGCAAACCGATAGGCTGGCTTCTTACACCAGTTTCTGGCTTAGGCTTCAGACTAAAATAAAGTAAAATGAGGGAGAGACTCTAAGTTTACGTATTTTTTGATCTAATTCACTAAGTAACCAAGCAGAAAGAAATTATATCTATAGCCCAACATAAATTATTACCAAGGATTAAGTCATAACCAAGAATAAAGGATGTTCATTTAACACAACCACTTCCTATGTATCTCGCTCAGGAGCCCAGCTTGACAGAGAACTTCTGGAGGGATGTGCACATTCAGTTCAGGTAAGGGAACCCTTCCCATCTGGTGTGGTTGGCAGGATCCAACACAGCCATCTGGAAAACCTCAAATAAAACAAAGATGCCATTTGGTTTCAGACAGAGTGCCAAACACCTGTGTCTGTTATTAATCATGAAGTTATTGAAAATTAGCTTTGAATAGCTCAAGTGCTAATGATGAATGAATTAAGATCACTCCCTGTACTTTGTACTCATCCTTTCTCGAGGTATGTACAGTGTTGGCTAAGGCCCTGCTTGGACCAGTTCTGTTTTCTGGTCTCTCAGCCTCTCCTTCTGTGTCCTTCTCACTCCCTCTCTGACAGCTGGTACCTTCTTGCTGCAAATAGGGTTTCTGGATCTCCCTAACCAGGTTTGCCCACTGAACAATGTCCAATGTTTTTAAGTTATTCCTTTACTCTCCCTCAATTCCATAAATCTTCCTACTTTCTCAGAACACTGTTTTCCTGAAGCTGTTCAAAGGAAAACAATCTGACTGAATTCATTCACACTATACATTGGATGGCTTTTGTGTTGCTTCCTCCAATAGTGAAATGGATAGATATTTATTTATTTATTTTTATGTGGTGCTGAGGATCGAACCCAGTGCCTCACACGTGCTAGGCAAGCGCTCTACCACTGAGCTACAACCCCAGCCTCCAAATGGATAGATCTTAATGGTAGAATGTAGTGGGAACGAGGACTACTCTCTAGCACTTTGAACATTATTATGTATTTTTCCCCATCATTTTTTATCAGCTTTTAATTAATATAATTGTTTAAAAAACTGATTAATTTATTAATAATTCTTTTCAATTGGATGACAAGCTGTGAGAGAATAAGGCCAGGTCTATTCACCTTTCCTCATCTAGACCACCATGACTATCTCAAGAAGGAGACTAGTAAATACTTCTTGTGTGAATAAATGAATGAATGAGTTGAATTTTCTATTCCAAGTGAGTCAGATATTTTTCATATCAGCTCCTAAGCACAAAACCAGAAAAAAAAAAAAAAGAAAGAAATAGTCTCAGGAAAATTGAAAGATTTTTTGGGGGGAACTGAAAAATCACCAACTTAAAAAAAAAATATAGCACTATGTACAAATTTCTTTCAACTAAAAAAGCATAGACTTCCCTGAGGCTGACAGATAGGTTTCAAGGAAGCAAGCCCCAATTACTTAATACCCTTTGCTTACAGAGCACAGCTCTCCTCAGATAGGAAAAATGAATCAAGACTATTCTTCCCCACTTCCTTTCCCTCTTCTCTGATGAGAAGAGCAATTTGAACCTCCAGCCGGAGCCCCGTGTTCTGTGTTCTCAGCTCTCACACTGGCCTTTTCGTCACCCACCCCTCTCACTTCCATCCGCTTCCCCACATAGACTCATAGACTCCCTCTCTAATCCCTTCTTTCTCTCTGGCTTCCTTGGTGATAAGACACAGGATTAGGATGCTGTATATAAAATTTGCCAGTTTTGCACAGGGCTCACCCTGTGCTGCAGAGGTGTCGTTGTTCTGTCTGGATTTCTATGAAAATGAGATAAAATTTATGTAAAAGAGTTGGGTTTGTAGTAGTTACTCAAAACACACAATGTTTTTTCTCCCTGCTTTTAGTTGATTCAAATACTTCTGAATCCATCAATGACAGCTAAAAAGAGAAGCTGTTTGTAATTAATTAAATTGAAAAAAAACAACAACAGTGAAATGGAATTAGAAATGTACAAATGTAAATATGTGACAAAGGACTAAGAAATTCAAAGTGGCCATGGCCTGTGATTCCCTAGAATGGAAGACTTCTTAAAGGGTGATTTATCTTTAAAATATAGTTCAGGTGTTTTTTTTTTTTTTTTTTTTTTTTTTTTTTTTTTTTTTTATAGTTCTACTGTTGCTATGGAAATTGCCTCTGTAGGAATGTGTGCAAATGCAGAATGGATTGCTAGTTGCATGAATAGGGAGGTGTGGGCAAGGGGCAGGCATGTTGACACTTGTCAGTCTGCAGCTTTGGTCCTGAAGAGAAAGAAATAGAATGTGGCTGAGGAACATGAGGGAATGCTGTGGGATCGGCACCACCATAGCTATCTCACTGCCTGACAGACCCGGAGTGAGACCTTCTAGAATCTCTAAATCTCCACTCCACTAATTAGGGAGACCATTGTGTCTGTTATCTCAGAATTTTCATTCATACCATCACCTTTCACTGTCAGTGTCATTCTGGTTTAGTTGATAAACCCGAAAGTCACCAGATCACTACAGAATATAATTTCCCCTATAAAATGAGAGCAGCACACTGAAATGATTTGTCACAGCTTTGATGATTTTTTTTTTTTAAGCACAGGACTTAAGTCATTTATAAAGCTACTTTCTGGGTAAGAAGCATCTCTTCCTTTCCCTGCACTTCTCTTACTTCTGTCACTGCTTCAGTTGAACAGCTGTGCTTCCTGCCCACCCAGAAGAAACAAGTAGTCTTATCATCTCTCGAGGAGAAACTAAAGTTGTGTTGAGTCATGCAACTGGGGAATCTGCTAGCCTCATTCTCTCGTCAAGTCAGTAGCTCTTACATGTCAGCCTTCCCAATTATATATTTCAGATTTTTGTGCTGCAAAGAAAACAAAGCAAATGATTACACATAGAGAATCCTAGGCAGGTATATCATCCATAGCTGCTTTCTGGGAGTAATCTCAAAGAAAAAGGGAAGTGTTAAAAGGACACTGGGAACATTAACAGAATCATGGGGGCAGGCTAGAGAACCAGGTACAGAAATTGAGGAAGCACAAAGTGGGATTGGATAGCCAGACCACAGCCAGAGTCAATGCCACAGATGCCCAATTTGGATACTGCTGCCCCTGCTGGTAGGCATTGGATCCCATGGTGGCAGTACAACCATGACTGCCCAAAACTGGTGGCTGTTGCTGACTTTGCTGCTACTGACAGAGGGATAATCCATGATCCCTTCTTCTTTGCTTAAGTAACCTCTGATTCAATGTCCTAGATTTATGCATCTTATGGGCCAAGACAATTGTTGGTACCCAGGTTCTAGTAGCAATTTAAGGCCTGAAGAGTGAATATCAGCCCTTTTCATCATCTATAGAAGAATTCTGTCTCCCACTAATTTCTCCAACCTTGGCAAGAAATTCAAATCCACCTTAGCCTAGAAAATATCCGCTATGTGAGTATTTACCTTGAGAATGTAAAGGACTCCACTCATAACCTTTAGAAATAAGATCTCTGAAAGTCTATTGAAAGCAAGGTCTAATGTTCCAAAATAAAGCCTTAAAGCAGAGCTCTCTGATGTGATTCTATAACCCGTAAAATCAGAAAAATGAGAAATTATACCCCATCAATGTATGACATATCAAAGTGCATAAATGATTCTATCATCATGTATAACTAATTAAAACAATTTTTTTCTAATGTAAAAAAGGAAAGTGAAAGGAAAAGGAAGAAAAAATACTAAGAAAGGAGAAAGGGTTCTTAGGGGCAGGGAAGTCAACAGTCTTGGATGGAGGAAGGGGTATATTTACTATTTTCACCATTTACAGAAAAGGGATGTAATCCAAGGGGCAGAAATGATTGAGTCAAGGAACCCAGAATTCCACCCAGAGAGAAGGCAGAAATGTAACCTGCAATGAAGGAAAAGAGTGCTATGGAAAACTTAGGGCCCCAGGAGAGTGGTGTCCTCCAGAAACCTTGAACACCTGGGTGGCCCACCCAGCAGGCTTGACTCAGAGGCACCCTCCAGGAAGGAGGAGACAAATGGAGCTTTGATGCAAAAGACACAAGAAGGGTCATCTAATTATGGGACAGGCCAGCTGTCAGGATGAGAAATTTGCCAATGTGTCACTTGGCTGCAAGTGATAGAAACCCAACACTAACTAGCAAGGGCAAAAAGAGAATTTACTGGCAGGGTAAGGGGGTGCTTCATGTCTTTTGCCAACAGGGGGGAGAAGGGGCAAGCTGGGCCTCAAAGATCAAATGTCCCATCTTGTGTCTCGCCTCTGCTTCTTGCTGAAGAGAAGAGGCACCACTGCCTTGACTTGTGGACCAATATCTTTGTCCTAGTAGGAGCAGGATGGCTCACAAGGCCAAAGTCTTATGTCCGGTGGCTTCTTCCCTTAGAGAGGAGATCATCCTATTCTTTCAGTCCTAGTTCTATAGAAATAATCTAAGGAGACCGACCCACTCAGGACAGGTGTCCCAGTTTAAGTTTCTGACCATTTTATAAGAATGTAGAACTTTATTTATTTATTTATTTATTTTTATGGGGGTGCTGAGGATCAAACCCAGTGCTTCACATGTACCAGGCAAATGCTCTACCACTGAGCTACAACCCCAGCCCCAAGTTTCTGACCATCTTAAAGGACAATTGTTAGTTGTGAGCAATCTGCTTGCATTTTTACCTACCCCTCAGGTGATCAGTTGTGGATAGCAAATTGGGTCTTGCTCGTCCATCTTGGGATTCTTTTTCCCTGGATCTGCCAGGTATTCAAGGAACAAGGCCCTGTCACAAAAACAAGACTGCTGGGGTCCCATCCCTGAAAGTCAGTGCTGTTCTCATAGAAGGGAGAATTCCTGCAAGCTCCAGTTGGTGTCTGTTAACATCCAGCAGTCTGGATGGGAATAAGAGCATGGTCTTTTTCTGGGAGGAAAGAGAAGGCCCCTATCTTTAATACCCTTCTTTGTTTTTCCTGATACTAAGGCAGTGAGCTTGAGAGAAAGCATTCTTGAGAGCCCCTGAGTAACCAGGACAATGCCTCATCACCTCTGGGTAATCCTAGTCTCTTGTGGGTACTGCATGGTGGTGGGATTGAAAGCAGCCTGTCACCAACTCAGCTCAAGAAAGTTCTGGCAAGAAGCACATCTGCAGTCTGAGCATGGGCAAGGGCCCATGGTGCTTACCTTACAACAGAGCACTATCCGAGTCTAAGGAGGATCTGGGGCAAGGGAGACAGGCACCAAAGCCCCCAAGAACAAGGGGTCCTGATGGTGATGCTTAGGGATGGTCAGGGGCTCAGTCAGTGTTCAATTTATTATCCCAAGTTCCCTCACCATCCCTGTAAAACCCTGATTGGTTTTACAAGGAACTGGCTTGAAATTAGGCAGATACAAAGCAAGTTTATCTTTCCTGCCCACTGCTGCTCACTCCTAGATAACACATTTCTAAGGTCACAGTCAAATTTACATTTGAAAAGTGAAAAAAAAAAAAAACCCACAATCATTCTGTATTTATGTTCCAAGCAACTGCCAGGAGGGATTCTTGATGGAACTGACTTAATCACAGTTGTTTTGATATCATACAAATGGAGCTGTAACTCTGGAAAAAAGTCAGCACGCATGTACCTGAGCTGGCAGGCATGTTCTCGTGTCAGCTACGTCTCCCGACCTGGCCTTGCTGAAACCAAACCCTAAAAAGAACACCTGTGATATTAAAATTGTAGTTCTTGGTGATGGTAGAATTTTCACGTCCTAACCTGAACTTCAATAATTGGGAAAGACAAGTAGAAGCTCCAGAATTACTGCAGTCAAGTTTATCCTTCGCTGTTCAGGGGAGTTGAGATTGGCATCTCCCTCCTAAGTTACAGGTACAACTGAACATTTTACATGAAGTTCTGTTGCAGGACCCAATTAAGTTTGTGTTCCATCCAACTCCTTGTAATGAGTCATGGCCTAACAGCCTTCTTCTATGGGAAAATGAAGTTACACAAGTGGATTTTAACTGTCATTTGCTGTTCAAAAATGCCTTTGGTTCATCTTTTTCTACTTTTACTCAAGTTTCTTACTTTTGGACACATTTTTACTTAAAAAAAAAATTAAAGCTCTATCCTTTTAGGGATATATGTCAACATGTCGACTGCTTTGTCACATTCTTTGCTAATGCCAATGTCATCAGAATTTAAAAAGCTGAAGCAAGGAATTGCATTTTGGAATGAACGCCACGTGAGTAGTCAGGGCAGACAGCCAGAACCTTCTGGTGAAGAGAATGAAAGCAGAACTGTGGTGGAGAGCATTTAAATCCCCTTTACAGTTCTGATCTCCTCCCCCCTTTCCCAGCCTCTGTGGCCGATTGGAACAAAGGTGGTGTCATATTCCCTGGGCACGCTGCCACCACTCTTTTTTTTTTTTTTTAACCCCAGTCTTTTTTTTTTTTAAGACTGTATTTTTTTAGAGCAGCTTTATGTGTACAGAGAAATTGTGAGGAAGGTACAGAGATTTCTTTCCCATACACCCCCTGCTCCCACACATGCATCACCTCCCCCATCACCAATATTCCCCACCAAAGTTACAACTGATCAACCTACATCGACACACTCTTCGCACCCAGAGTCCAGATTTTACATAGGTTTGCTCTTGGTGCTGTCCACTCCGTGGGCTTGAACAAATATACACTAACATGTACATACCCAGTGTCTGAAGAGTAGTTTCACTGCTTTAAAAATCCTCTGAGCTCCATCTAGTCTCCTCCCCACCCTTAACCCTTGGCAACCACTGATCTTCTGTCTCCATAGTTGTTCCTTTTCCAGATGCCAGTTTGGAATCACACAGAGTGGCTTTTTTCACTTAGTATATGCATTTGTTTCCTCCATGTATTTTCATGGTTTGACGGCTCCTAGCTTGCCACCGCACAGTCAGTATAAGCACCAAGATTTCACTCTTCCTGTCTACCCTCCCCTCCATGATGCACACATTTTAGGATCATTTCCTTGCCACCGACTTCCCCTGTGCAGGGGAAAGAAAAGCATGTTACACAGCAAAGTCTAAACATCATGCTTCTCCATTGGCTTCCTGGCACCCAGTGTCCTGCTTGGGCTTAGAGATTTCTTGGTTTTTATTTTTTAACTTAAATAATTTTTTATTGGTGCATTATAATTATACATAATAGGAAATTCATTATGCCATGTATTCATATGTGCACATAACCTAATTTGATAATGCTTATTCCCCAGAATTTTCCCTATCCTTCTTCTCCTCCTTCCTCCTGATCTGCCTGCTGATTTCCCTTCTATATTATTGCTGTTTCAGTTAGTACATTGTTATCATATACATGTATATATGTATATGCAGAATTCACTGTGGCATATTCATACATGGACATAATGCATTGGCCACCATGTGGTCTGCATTTTAAATTTTCTTTTCAAGTAGCCATTATCAACAGATTCAGTGTGTAGGGCCATGAAGGTAAGCATACTCTGTGTATCTGTCCTTGGCTGGAATTTCTCTTCCATGCTCACAGTGATGGCTAAAGTTTAGAAACTATTCATATTGGACATTTTTACATCAGAAAAAGTCCAGAAACGTCTCTCGGACCCCACATTTCAGAACAGTTAGCAGCAACATGTGAAAAAGTATCCAAGAAGCTATTTCATTTCCATGGCAGCCAGGGCCCAGACGCTAAAGCTTTATAGATTAAAATCAATGCCTGAATTGCATTCAGAAAGCCTGAATTGCCTGTCAGACTTCAGGACCAGCAGCGCAACGTGATAAATGAGGTGAAGAGCCCCATCCAGGCCAGGGAGTGTGTGCCGCATTAGCGAGTACTTGGGTTTCTTTTTCAAAGCAAATACCAAATGGAATGAATTACTGGGAAACAGCAAATGAATGTCAAGAATTTGAGATGCGAGGGTTATAATTTACTAATTACTGGGAAACGATGAACACAAAGTCAGTGTGTGAAAGAATGTGGTAGGAGAAAGCGTGGATCAGGGAGACAAAGAAAGGGAGCAAGGCAGGAGGCTCTTGATTTCCATCCTGATCAAAGGAGATGGATTTTAGAGACATAGACACCTGGTGAAACTCCCAGCTTGGTCATTACTAGTCTGTGTCATAAACTATAATGAGCATTAAATAAGTAGATCCACACCTAAGCTAGTATACAAGCACACAGGAGGCAGTCAATAAATGTTATGGCCCCCTCTTTCCAGTTCCCATTCAATTCCTTTCTCATTTAATGCTGAGAAGCTTGTACTGACTTTGTTCAGTGAGTCAGTGTGAGAGAAGGAGGCTTGCTGCCTCCCACAGCAGGTCATCAACACTTAAAGACAGCCAAGGAAGGGCAGAGCATTGAGGGAGGCACAGAGACACCTTCACAAAGGCTGGGCTCATTATAAAATTGCTCAAATAATCTAACTTCTGATGCTGTTTTCTGTCTATCAATGCAAAATAACAACCCATAGTTTCATTCTCCAGTGTTTCTGCCTTTTTTTTTTTTTTTTTTGGTGACACTAATGCATTTTCTGAGCCTAGACTGTCCATCAACCTTGTGCTCCTCACAAGGCTGCAATTCCAGGAGCTGAGGT